GGATGAAGAGCGTGAAAAAGGTGTTTGCTTTTGCAATTAATCTTTTTTTGTGTGGGAAAATAAAGCTTATATAACCACGAAAACAATAACGAATTAGCATTTTACTACTGCTGATATGGTGTTTTAAATACAGGTAATGAGCTTTTCAAGGAGCAGAAGTATCCTGATGCTATAAAACATTACACTGAAGCAATCAAAAGGAACCCAGAAGACCCAAAAGTAAGGCTACTTCACATTCATATGTCCTCAAGGTCTTCTACATTGATTTCCTGTTTTCACTGTTTGAGTAACTTCCTACTTTTTTTGCACACATTTTAGGCATATAGCAACCGAGCTGCGTGTTACACTAAGCTAGGTGCAATGCCTGAAGGGCTAAAGGATGCAAACAAGTGTATTGAGCTCGATCCAACCTTCTCTAAAGGATACAGCAGAAAAGCTGCAGTCCAATTCTTCTTGAAGGAGTATGACGACGCGATGGAAACATACCAAGAGGGTCTCAAGCATGATCCTACTAATCAGGAACTTCTTGACGGTGTTAGAAGGTATACACACAGATACACTGTGATTATTAACTTTCTATCTATTGCCATGAATTTGCTTAATGTTGTTCAAATCTATTCTGCAGATGTGTACAACAAATTAACAAGGCTAATCGCGGGGACCTTACTCCTGAGGAATTGAAAGAGAGACAGGTTACATTCTGATGATTCTCATGTTTTTTTTTTTCCCGTGATTAAGAAAACCCGGGAAGCAAACTTGGATTTCTCGTTTTCTTTTGTGTAGGCAAAGGGAATGCAAGACCCAGAAATCCAGAACATCCTCACAGATCCTGTAATGAGACAGGTAAATAAACAAAACTGTCTTCCAACTCGTAAATTGTGAATGTATGATGCAAATTTTGTTTGAATCAAACTTGTTACTACCAATGTTACTCTCTGTTGTGAGATATTTAGATAGATCTGACTATGTTTTAGGTATCGGGTTGAGTTTGCATGTTAGTATGCCTCTTAACAATCGAAAACCTTTCTTCCAAACAGGTACTGAGTGATCTTCAAGAGAATCCAAGCGCAGCACAGAAACATATGCAGAATCCGATGGTTATGAACAAGATTCAAAAGCTTATTAGCGCTGGGATCGTCCAGATGAAATAAACTCTGAAGAGTTGAAACGTCCAATATCTGTTTTTGCAGATTCATTTTTTTTCTCTTATTCTCTTTGCAATCTGCAACAATTCTAGATTTGTAACCGGCCAAAACAGATTTCCCATGTTTGCTGACGTTGTGATCCGAACAAATTGCAATCAAATTTTCAATCTATTCTGATATCAACATTTTTTTTCATTGTCTTGATTAAATTTGCGTTGCTTAACATTTCTATAAATTATCTTGGCTAACTACACTCCTTTATCACAACAACTTAGTCATTCACAAGATTAAAATCATTTTCTTGCCTCAGCTCTAAAAACTGCTACCGCACATACATAACTTGCCATTCAGGTCCAAAGAACTTGAAGAAAGGTAAGAAACGGAGTTTAGTGGCTTCGTCGTCCCATTCAACCCTTTCAAGCCATTCTTCCTCTTGGTATTTAATGACAAGTTCTTCAACCCTCATGACACTTTCAGAATCCAGTGGAAGCTTTCTCAGCTCCAGACACTTCGTTATGTGGATTGTCTTTAGACATGGAAAAGGCAGAGGTTGCCAGTAGATGCTCCTCAATATCGCAAGATTGTGTAGACGTAGACTCTCTAGTTTCTGGAAAGGAATGATACCACTCATAGTCGTAGCTTTCTCTTGGCTTATTATTCCTTCTACTAGCCCTGAGTCCAGAACCTCAAGACTAGTGAGGTTAGGAGCGAACAACAACCACGTCAAATCCTTCAGACCCTCACAGCTACTTATATGCACAGTGGAGAGGTTCGGGAGGAATTGAGTTTTGGGGCTTCTGCTCCATGGTGATGATAAAGTTGTCCTCTCTATCTTTATCTCACACATTCCACACTTCCTTATGATGACTTTATGGAGATTATCCATATCTGGCAAACTCAATACTCCGGATGATTCTTCCTGAAGTCCTCTAAGTACGACAATTTGAAGACATTTCACCAACCGGGGAGCATCTAACAACTTCTCCACAACCAAGCTTGACTTGATACTTATGTTTAGAACTTCTAAATGTTCTAAGAGCTGCAACTCCTCCACTAAGCTCATGTCTAGCGACATTTTAGACTGTAAAAGTTGCAATTTCCTCAAACTTGACAAATTTGATATCCCTGAAATACTCTTAAGTCTCTTCATGTAATCCAATCTCAAATATCTCAGCTTTTTCAACTCTTGTAGACCAACAGGTAGCCGCTTCATGTATGTCCATGACAAGTCAAGATACCGCAAGGAGACTAACTTGGATATTTGGTTTGGCAATTTCCGGAGACTTGCATTCCCTGATAGATCCAAAACAACTAGCATTGGGATACACCGGAAGAATTCATCCGAGATATGTAGCAATGAGCCATTTTTCTGAAGGAACAGAGTTGTAAGTTCCTGGCATTCAGGACTGCCAGATATCGTTTCAATCTCATTTTCCATCAGCGACATCTTTCTCACAGAACTCCAGTTCTTGACTTTGGGTACTTCACGTAATCCAACACCGACTTGCACAATACATCTTTCTTTATGCTTCCCGAGATCAGATGCTATCCATAGAGCCATCTCCCGAACCACATCATGCATTTTAACTTGTTCTTTATTGATTGCTTCCTCCAACAACAAACAAGCTCGGACAAGGATACCAATGATCTCATAACCTTGGCTTAATGCTCTTTCTCTACTTTCATTTTCATCAATGAATCCCTCACATATCCAATAGTCTATCAACCTCTCTTTCTCCATACGATAATCTTCAGGAAACAGAGAGCAATATAGGAAACATGGTTTCACCTGCTCCTTGATTAAATTATCATAGCTATACTTTAGAATTGGAAGAATTTGTTCCATGCTAGAAAATTCTGCAGCATATGAGCTCAAAACGTCAATTGCATTACGCCATTCTTGTACCATCCTTTTGCATGCCATGGTCTCGCCAATGGTAGGCCACTGCATTTTCCAGCAACTTCTCTTGCAAGTTCAGGAATGTCTGGATGGCCTTTCAATGTGTTTTCTCCGACTTTCATTTGGAACAGTTTCCAAGCTTCGTCGGGTTCTAGACAACTGACTTCAACCGGGTCATCAACCCCCATACACCCACAAACATCTCTAGAACGAGTGGTAAAGGCTACTTTGCATCCATTTTGTTTGCTTGGATAAGGAACTCCGAGCGCTTCTAAATTCACTTTCTCCCATATATCATCCAACAACAACACAAATTTTTGTTTCCCAAGGACATTGTATATGTCAAGGGCTCTCTGTTTTTCATTTTCATTATCCCACTCTTCGCCCCCAAGGTCTAGTCTTTTCCCGATGTCTCCTTGAATCCTACGGATATCTGGACTTTTAGACACCACAACCCATATCACAACCCCAAACCCGCTACATTCTTCAGAAAACTTGTTGTTGATTCGTGTGAGAAGGGTGGTTTTGCCTACTCCACCCATGCCATAAAGACCCACAATCTTGTCTCCGTCTCCCGTGAGACGGGTCCAGACCCTTCCGAGCATTGTTTCCTGACCTACGATTGTAGGTTGAATAGGCATCTCTTCAATCCTAGCTATCGGATTGGCCACAGTCACCGTATCAAAATCTCCTTGAGAACTAAGACTCTCAATCTCCTTCAACATCATGACAACCCTTTTCCCATAAAGATAGCTAGCTTTCACATTTTTAGAGCAAAATCCGAAGAGACACAACCTTTGAAGCTCAACGTCATTAGTGATAAACAGTTCATTGAATTTGTCCTCGACGGTCGAGACATTCGTTAGCCATCCTTGGACTTGAGAAAGCCTTTCACGACGCCTTGTGAACTCTTCTCTATCTACCCTTCTTTGCACATCATCTCGCTTCAACTTGAGCACTTCCATGTCTTTCTTCATAGCCACTAGATTCTCGGAAAGCTTGCAAACATAACCTGCATTGATGCATAAACCTTGAGAGATTTGATTCACAACTTGATCACATGACAACGAGACTGTTAAACAACCTCCCATTGCTGGAGAGGGAAAGAAGTGAGAAAAGAGAGATTTAGAGAGCAAAACAAAGAAACCACATTGAGTGAGTGACAATTATTCAAAAAGATGAAAAGAGGAGATAGATTTTCAACCACACAAGATGTCACCTAAAGCAAAGGGGATAAATGATTACTATATCGAATTTAAAGATGTCACTGTATGCATTTAGACTTTTCCACGATTATGACATTTCCCACTACTCTTACAATATTGTAGAAATTTCAAATGCAAAAAAATTCGGGTACATTTAAGACAAAACACAAAAATCTTGTAGAGTTCACTACTTAATGGATTTTTGGTTCCTTTTCCCTAAAAATATTGCAAGACATCCACAGATTATCTATACTAAGCTGCTTGATCAGATTATCCATTTGTGTTCCCAACCAGCAGAAGAACCTGATAAAACATCTCTTTTCACATGAATACATGAAAAAATAAAACTGCTGAAGAATCTAAAACTCTGATTTTTGAAATGAGTGATCTAACGAATCTGAAACATGATAGTTATGGCTATGCATCTGCTCTATTGGCCAAAAACCAAAAACATGAATTCCATCATATGGTGATTTGGTGAGTATATGGCTTAGGAACAGGTTGCTTCACCTCTGCAAGAAACAACTCAAACCTCACATTCAAGCAAGCCAATAACATTTCACAGTAAAACTACAATCATCAACAGCCATTCATATAGCTGCTTATAACAAGTTTGAGACTAAATTACAATCATCTCCAATGACCATAATGAGAGGAAATGAAGATTCAGTTGTTCGAACTACATGAGAAATCGTTTCAGGATTACCACACCAGCAACATTTCATATTGCCTTCTTAGAACAACAAGCTATAAATAATCACCACTTTATGTAAACAAAACCAATCAAGTTTTTGTTTTATATACAAGAGTTTTAGGGACTAAGTTCAAACAAACAAAGGGAGATGAAGCGCATACACATACAAAATCCAAATAACACTTCAAAACATAACAAGACAAGACAATGGCAGAGATAATACAAGGTCCCATGAATATAAGCGTAGCGAGAGGAAGGATACTGATATTTATATATTTACCATTGAGACCATACGAGTTTGTTTTTCTTCTGGAAAACCTGTTTCCCTTCATTGATTATACAAAACCAACTTGCAGGATGGCAAGAACCGGAGTCTTGTGGCTTTATCCTCCCATTCAACTTTTTCTTTCCATTCTTCATCTCCGTATTGTATGACGAGTTCTTCACCCGCAATGCAACTTTGAGAATCCAATGGAAGCTTTCTCAGCTTTTGACAATTGTTTTGTACGTTGATCTGATTCAGACATGGAAACGGTAAAGGACCCCAGTATATGCTCTTCAGTTCTGGTAAATCCCACAAGTGTAGATATTCTAGTTTCCGAAAAGGAACTATATCAGCCCTCGAAGCTTTCTCTTGGCTTATTATCTCTTCTACTTCGCTTGAGTTCCAAACATTGAGATGAGTGAGGTTAGGAGCAAACAACAACCACGTCAAATCTTTAAGACCATTGCAACCAGCTATCAGAACTTTGGATAGATTTCGAAAGCATGTGCTTGTCACACTTGTGTTCCCTTCTATAATTATATCCCGTATCCCACATCCCCCTATGAAGACTTCACGGAGATCACCTATAGATGGCAACGTCAATATTCTGACTGATTCTTCGTCAATGTATTTTATAGATACCTTTTGAAGACATCTCACCAACCTGTGAGAGCATAACAGTTGTTCCAATGCTGGACTTGACGTGATCTCTATGGTTAGAACTTCTAAATTCTCCAAGCGTTCCAGCTCCTCCAATAAGCTTATAGTTAGCCACATTCTGAAATTTAATAGCCTCAAAGTCTTCAAGTTCGACAAATGCGATATCCCTGAAACACTCTCAAGGCACAACATAGACTCTAGATTCAGATGCATCAGCTTTTTCAGCTTCCGTAAACCAACTGGCAATCTCACTATGCTTGAATCTGACAAGTCAAGATATCGCAATGAAACCAACTCTGATATTTGCTCTGGCAACCCACTGAGATTGATATTCCATGATAGATCCAAAACAACTAGCCTCGGCATAGACCTGAAGAATTCTCCGGAGATATTTACCAGATGGCGGTTATCCTGAAGGAACAAAGTTGTAAGTTTAGGACACTCAGGACTGCCATGTATTTCTTTAATCCTGTTATTCACCAATGACATCCTTCTCACAACTTTCCAATCCTTAACCCTTGGTATTTCGGTTAACCCAAAACCGGCTCGTACAATGCAATTACCTATATGCTTCCTGAGGTCAGATGCTATCCACAGGGCCATCTCACGAACCACATCATGCATTTTCACATATGACTTATTGTTGAACTTTCCTCCCTCCACCAACAAAGAGGCACGAACAAGAGTACCGAGTATCTCATAGCCTTGGTCCACAGCTCCTTTTTTGTTTTCATATCCATCAATGAATCCCTCGCATATCCAATAATCTATCAGCCTCTCTTTTTCTATTAACGCGTCTTCAGGAAACAGAGAGCAATATTGGAAACAAGATTTGACACTGTCACTTTCTAGATTATCATAGCTGTACTTCAAAATAGGAAGAATCTTCTCCTTCACAGCACCAAAATTTGCAGCATATGTTGTTAAAACGTCTAATGCATGATCCCATTCTTGTGTAGTCTTCTTGCATGCCATTGTCTCTCCAATAACGTTTAGCGCTAGTGGCAAGCCACAACATGCTCGAGCAACTTTTCTTGCAATTTCGGGAATGTCCGGGTGGCTTTCTAGTGTGGGTTGTCCTACTTTTTTTCTGAACAAATCCCACGCATCATCTGTACCTAAACATCGGACTTCCATCGGATCATGAACCCCCATGCTCGCACATACGCTTTGAGAGCGAGTGGTGAATGCTATTTTGCATCCGTTCTCACTTGTTGGATTCGGAATTCCAATCTCGGTTAATTCCACTCTCCTCCAAATGTCATCCAAAAGCAACACAAATCTCTTTTTGCTCAGAAAATTGAGTATGTCGACTGCCTTCTGGTTTTCACTTTTCTGGTTCCATTCCACGCCTTCAAATCCTATTTTCTCGCCAATCTCTTTTTGTATCTTGTGGATTTGTAGATCACCAGACACCACAACCCAAATGACGATTTCAACGCCATCATTAGTGTCACAAAACCTATTGTTGATCCGAGTGAGAAGAGTTGTTTTTCCTACTCCACCCATGCCATAGAGACCCATAATCTTAGTTCCATCATCCATGAGGTGGTTCCATGCCTTTTCGAGAATTGTTTCCAGACCAACAATCGTCGGTTGTAGAGGCCTTTCCTCCCCCACAGCTCTCGTAGCTGGATGAGCCACCTCTTCAAAACCCCCTTTAGATTTTAAGTCTTCAACCATATTCAACATCAAGAAGACCCTTCTTCCATAGTCATACCTCAATCTTAAGTTTCTCGAGCCAGCACCATAAAAACACAACCTTTGAAGTTCAACAGTTCTACTACTATATAGATCATTGAATTGGGATTCGATAGTCTTGACTCTCTTAAGCCATACCTTGATTTGATGAAGCCTTTGTAGACCTCCCTCTTCTGCTGTCTGCACCTTACGTAACAGATCAGCTCGTACTGCCTTGAGATCTTCCATGGCTTCTTCCAAAGCAGTGAGATTCTCCTTGAGGTTTTGAATATAATAGAGTTTTCTGCAAAAGCATCTACCGAGATGGTTCAACAATTGATCGCATGATACTTGGACAGAAACACAACTACCCATCTTGTACTTGACACGCAAAGACAGATTCAAAAATGCAACGAGGAAGCTTAATCTTGATCTGCAAATTAGTAAAATGTGCAACGATTAGGTAGAAGAAAATAAATAATTCCACCCCCTCCCCCCTTGGAATTTTGCTGGAAAAAATTGTTTGAATCAGTCAAAGTCTTGGTTTTGTATCGTCATTATGCATGGTAGCATCACATTTTTATGTAATATATAGCAAAATTCCAAGAATATGACAGTTGTAGATGCAACTACAGTAGCTATGTCACTTTCATTTCTACTAAATAAAATGGGGAAATTGCCTACGAAAAAAATCTTCCATCTTTATTCTTACTCCTAATAAAACCCCGTCTTTTTCAAAGGCAAATAAACAAACAAGTTTATTCGTAAAATCATACCATTAAAAAATATATATATATACTCAGCTCTGTTAATCAAACCATAGCAGATTAGTTAACTTTGTCTTAAAAAATTACTGGAAGTGACTTACTCACCACAAAATCCTCCCCTGAGAACTGAGCATCTCAACATGAAGATAACCCTTCACCCATAATGATAACTCTTTCTTAAATTTCTGGAGCAAAACCGACAGCTAGACAACTTATAAACTGGAGTTTCTTACCGCCCATTCACATGAATACAAAGAACATAAGGTTGATGCAGAATCTGATACCGTAATCTTTGAAATGAGTACCTGAACTAATGGCTCAGGAACACGACAGTCACTCATGGCTTTCCTAACCGAGAACTGAAGCATGAATTCAATCGTATGGTGGCTTAGGAACAGCAAGATTTACCTCCCTCTGCACAAAACACGCATTCAAGCAATGCAACATGCAATCCAAAAACATTTCAGACTATTGAAATTCTAATGAGTAGTCTTCAGATTAAGTAAGTTACTGAAATTCCAGCCTTCCAGAGCAGAGGCTTTATCAGCTTTAGTATACTCCAATAGTAACCCATCAGAGATGGACTCAGGATTAGGTGTATGCATGGTATGGGCGGAGTAGGAAAAATCTTACTCAAATCTTGCGGATCTCAACACTTTCAAACACCACAACCTTTATAAATCAAGCATCTATTGTTGATCTGCTAGAAAGGTGAGATTTTGCCTACTTCGACCATACATACAGAGGCGTAACCCCGAATCCATCTTTGATGAGAATATGACTCCCCCTTGGCGGATAACTATTGACAAACTTGATGCTCACATGATACTGTGACAAAGAAACAAACACTCATCACTGCACAAATAGAGAGAAAGAGATTCACAGAGTAACAACAACACACCATAAGCTAAGTTCGATTTTAAGTCACAATTTATATAAGCGGTGAGTGAGATTAAAGTTTCAATCTTTTCTTCACAAAACTCTATCAAGTTTCGACAACAGACACAAAATCGATCCAAAAGAAGGTTAATTCGAATCCGAAACTAAGCCTAAAACGAAAATCAGCAATTGAATACCCAAATGAGAAAACAATGGAAGTACCTATGCGAGAAGAATCTTTGTAATGGTCCGTTGCAGAATCATTCATCTCTTTGAAGCCAAGCCTTGTCCTTTGGTCGAGCTCTCAGCTCAGACATGATCTTCCACGTGGTGCTGGCTGCCATCTCTTTGGGTCCATAAAGAAGAGTGGGCCTGCCAGTGAACCCATTTCAACTGATAGCCCATTTCTTCTTGACTTCGTCCACAAGAATATATATACCACATTTTGGAATATTCTCGCTCTCCCAAAAAAAAAAATGCACTTTGCGGTCTTAACAATAACAAAAATTGTGGTAACTTTTGATTATTTAGGATGATTTATTTCAAAAATTGAGGTATTTAAGAAAGCTACTTCACATAAATTAAAAAGTAGGGGAAAAAAGAGAAGGGCGTTGCAATTTCAGAAGAAATAGATAAACAGAACAATATATTAGGGTCATGGTCAAGGAAGGTCATTGGGGATCCTCAACACAGACTACATGAAGGTTATATGTGAACAAAGATTCGAATAACGGGACCAAATACATCAATCACTAAACGAGAAATGTTTAGCTTTACCTCTCGTTGATAAGATCAAATATTCAAGAAAGCATATCCAAAAAGCTTTTTTCCAATCTACCATCCAATAACATATCGATAACCATCTTTATCGTGGAAGCATCAGCAGAGAACCCCAACCTCTTCATTTCTTCGATCAGTTTAGCTGAAGTTATTACTTCACTATCTCGGAGATGTGCTCGGATTATTGTGTTGTATGTACAATCATTTGGCGCATGCCCATCCTCTTCCATTTTTCTAAGCAACATATTTGCTTCAGACAGTGAGCCTTTCCTACATAATCCTGAAATCATTATGGTATATGCCTTGACATCATGCTTCACTCCTTTGAGAGGGAGGCCACAGAATAAAGTCCAAGCATCCTCGACCTTATTAGCATTGCACATCCCGTGAATAATGATACAATATATACCTATATCAAGATCCATCTTACTCTTCTCTATTTTTTCAAATATTTCCAATGCTTTCTCTAGTTCTCCATTGTCACACAACCCATCCAGCAAAATTTTGTAAGTCACAATATCAGGACGAACACCACGAGAAACCATCTCTTGGAAGAGTTCTTTGGCAACACTAAGTTTTCGCAATTCACAAAACCCTTGGATAAGAGTGCCATAAGTGAATCTATCTGCAACCACTCCTCTCAGAGACATTTTGCGGAAGAGTTCCAAACCATCGTCAGTCCGTTTAGCCTTACAATATCCATTTATGAGGATATTAAACGTCACGATATCAGGATCACACCCTTTGCTAACCATCAGATCCAACATCTGGTTGGCCTCATCTAGGCGCTTCTCCTTGCAAAACCCATCTATCAAGGAACTATATGTAATAGTATTAGGAGCTATACCTCGTTGAATCATCTCCTGGTGCAGTTCTTCGGCCTCTCGAAGCTTTCCCTCTTTCACAAAACAATCAATCAACGCACTGAAAGTGACAACGTCTGGGGCGATTTTCCTTGTGATCATATCCCTTAACAACTTGGCACCATCATTCCATCTACCGGCATTACAAAAGCCTCCTATGAGAGTGGTGTAGGTAATATTATTTGCTTTGATCCCTTTCATTTCCATTTCATTGAAAAGGTTGAATGCATTGTCGAGGCACCCGTCTTTGCAAAGACCATCAATGATGATGCTGTATTTGACTGCATCTAGCTTGATCTTTCTTTCTTCCATCTTTCTAAGCAACTCCATGGCCAGGGCAGTTTTACCGGACTTACACATTACATTTAAAACCGGTCCATACGTAACTGAATTGGGTTGACAGCCATTTTCAACCATTCGTTCAATCAAAATCACCGCTTGAGACACTTTACCCTCAAGACAAAGTCCATTGATCAGAGTGCTAAACGTTATGAGATCGGGTCTATGTCCCATTTCTACCATTCGATCAACTAATCCCACCGCTTCAGAAACTCGGCCCTCAAGACATAAGCCATTGAATAGAGTGTTAAAGATGACTGTGTTAGGCTCATACCCAAGTTTCATGATTTTCCCCATAGCAGAGAAAGCGTAAGAAAGTTTACGACAGCGACCGAAACAATTGATCATAATACTCAAAGTGTAGTTGTTATGCGCAATCCCATTCAATTCCATTTGCTTGCAGAGATCTAACACTAGATCATACTGTTTCGTTCTGGCAACGGCACTAAACAATTTACTGAAATCAACAAGACTAGGAAGAGGACGAGACCCGATCATTTCTTGGAACAGAGCAATAGCATCATCTTTCTTAATATCAACAATCCCACTTCTCAATCTCTCTCTATAAGACAGATTTCTATCGCTGAAACTAGAAAAGTCTCTTCCGCAGCAAAAAGATAGCTTATTTGAGCAATGGAGTAAAGCATTTCTCAGAGTACCTGTCTCCAGGAGACGAGACTGAACAAATTTCGAAGCTTGAGGACTTAATCTCCGAATCATCAACTTCATCATCTCAAGCTAAATCGTTCCTTTTTCAAACTCTCTCTCTGTGTAATTTTGCAAACCCTACAAAGCATCCATGGGAGGAGCTTAGCTTAGAGACTTTAGAGCATCCACATTAGTCATTTATTTTTATTTGTGGGTATCTTTAAATATAAAATTAATAAAAAAATAAAATTAAAATGGACGGTATATAATTAATAATAAATCTGTAATTAATAATAAATCTAGATAAAAAAAAAAATGAACGGTGTATTTTATTTAAGATTTGTGTCTTGCTAGAGACATATTAAACACCAAAAAATTAATTAAAAAAAAAATTAAAATGGACGGTGTATAATTAATAATAAATCTGTAATTAATAATAAATCTAGATGGAAAAAAAAATGAATGTGTATTTTATTTAAAATTTGTGTCTTGTTAGAGACATATTAAACACCAAAAAATGAGGGTATCTTTAATTTTATTACTAATTTATACTAAAAACATCTATCAAGAGTTGACTAATGTGGATGCTCTAAACCGGTTCATTAAAACTATATCGGAATTGGTTTAGCTGAGTTTTTCCTTTTATATGTGTTTTGAAGTGTTTTTAGGCAACGATTCTGATATACTCTGATCTAGCGATCCAGAGATTGACGTGCGAATTGGGGGAGTAGAGAGCTTGTATCATCGACTCCTGTTCTTCTTCAACCGGTCTAAACCGGACAATGTATGTTAACAGATTCAGGGTTGTAGTGAACCGAAAATTTTGAGTCTCATTCTAGTGCTTGTATATGTGCTTTTCTTTTCACCACTACAAATATCATTTACAAATGGTATTCGTTAACGGTAATATTGTTTTGAGAGCTTTGATCTTCACACAAATCATGTATTAATAAGAAGTAACGACAACATGTAGAGAATGCATCTATCTAATCAAACTTTGAAACTTGCATCAGATTGAAATTTCATTTTCGCCTTACCATCTACATAAGATAACTACACCATAACAAGAACCAAAACCAAGTCAAAAACTACCGTTTCAAGAACATGAATTACAATGTCAGTGGCATAAGCTGTTTCAAAGTGTTCTGATGAGCCATCATAATCTTTATCACCTTAAACCATGAAGAACTTCTATGTTTTCTAGGTACAACATACATTCCCAAAAGACAAACAACATAACAACATCCAACAGCAGCATAACAACGCGCGGGATATCGAACAGCACAAGCTTAAGAGCAACACAAGATCTTTTAATCATTTCAAATCTTTTTGCTTTCCATTTCATATACCAACAAAACACAGTCCTGGTCAGTGGTCACAGAATCGTGCCAGTATAAAGGTGTGAAACTAGAAGATTTTAATTTGGAACATTTTAAAATTTTTTAATTTAATATATTAAAGAATATCATAAATATTTAATAGATTAAAAAGATAAAAAAAATTATAAATACATTTTTTTTTTTTGATAAATCCTATCGGTTATCCGGTCGGTCCCGGTAGGAATGCACCGAGGTGCTACATAGTGGACTGGTCCACCGTGTTAACGGTTAGGCCCTTACGGGCAACCACTCTGCCTATCCCGAGTTTGGAATGCCTTCCGATTAAGTGTCAGGGGTAGTCAGACTGCCTGCATTTCTGGCTACCAGGTAAACCAATTGGGCCAAAGCCCAACTGACAGACTTCCCAAACAAATGTGTTTTTGTTTCCAGGGAGAATCGAACTCAGGTTTAGGAGTTTCACCCTTTTCCAAAGCTTCCTCTGCGACTAGACCACGGATGCTTGGGCAAATTATAAATACATTAATTTGATTTTTTTAAAAGATATGTTTAAAATATTTATAGTAGGCGGCGGGTTAAATGTAATGTATTATATAGTAGAAAGTTATGATCCTTATAACAGACGGCATTTTAAGATTTTATGATGAGATAAGTTAAATAAGGTTTGACACTTCTAAATATTTTAAAATTTGATTCTGCAATCAATTTTGAAAATAATAAATAATAGATTGTGCCGCAATATTTTCATAGGGATTATAAAATGAAATATAGACTCTACACACGGATTGAATTTGGTATTATTATATACCAAATATATGTTCATAACATATTTGATTATGTGAATAATTGGTAAATTCTGTAATTAGCTCAAACAAATCTCTATTTCAACAACCAATGAATCAGAATTTGAAAAAATTATTTCCTAAATTAATTCAAAATAATAACTAATTTTCTTAAGTAATTCAAAATAATCTACGTTTTAGATGCGATTCATTTATGATATTTCCTAAATTATATGCACTCTCATTTTTTGGTTGTTAACATAAATTAACTCATTGTTCAAACAATATTATTTTTAAAAAAAAAAAATCTTATTTTCCGTTTTTATATCTTAAAAAAATATCCATAATTGAATACTATAAAAAAAGAAAAATATATTCATTCTAATATTAAATATAGGGACTGACAAAAAAATATTATTTTTTCACTTACTATTATAATATATCACAACTTTATTCTAAAACATAAAATTTATTAATTTTGTAATAAATAAAAATTTAATCCGTACTATAGTATGGGTGATGAACTAGTTTCGTTGGTAAAAACGTAAGAAAACCAGATAAAGTCTTTTAAACAAAACATAAATTTCAGAGACTTAACCCAAGCAGTAATTAAAAAAAAAAAAACGTGAAACAAACACACAAATAAGATGAGAGAAAGACAGAGCAATGGCCAATAGAACAGCTTGCCAATAGGAGACCAAAGCATTTAAGAGAATTGTTTGGATGATGCAATGAGGTTATTAAACCAACTTGGAGGAAGGTAGGAAACGGAGCTGAGTGGCTTCGTCTTCCCATTCAACCTCTTCTATCCATTCTTTCTCTCTGTAGTTTATAACAAGTTCTTCAACCCTACCGACATTTTGTGAATCCAGTGCAAGCTTCCTCAGGTTCGGACACTTTCTTATGTCGATTTCCCTCAAACATGGAAAAGGCAGAGTATTCCAGTAGATGCTCTTCAGCTTAGGTAAATTCCACAGCTGTAGCTTTTCTAGTTTTTGAAAAGGGATGATCATACCTGCCTCATCACCTGTGACACTGTTCAAAGCTTTCTCCTCGCTTATTATATCCTCTAGTCGATCTGAGAAAGAAACCTCAAGATTGGTAAGGTTAGGAGCGAACAACAGCCACGTCAAATCCTTTAGACCATCGCAGTTACTTATTAAGACAGTGAAGAGGCTAAAGAAGCATGGACTTGCTGGACTTTTGTTCCAAGATGATGTTTCCCTCTCTATCTCTATCTCCTTCATTCCACTACTCAATATCCTGATGCTACTAAGACTCCCCATAGTCGGCAATGTCAATAGTTCCTGATGGTATTTAAAATCGACCTCCTCAAAAATTCAAGAAAGCATATCCAAAAAGCTTTTCTCCAATCTACCATCCGATAACATATCGATAACCATCTTTATCGTGGAAGCATCAGCAGAGAACCCCAACCTCTTCATTTCTTCGATGAGTTTAGCTGAAGTAATTACGTCACTACCTCGGAGATGTGCTCGGACTATTGTGTTGTATGTACAATCATCTGGCGCATGCCCATCCTCTTCCATTTTTCTAAGCAACTTATTTGCTTCAGACAGTGAGCCTTTCCTACATAATCCTGAAATCATTATGTTATATGCCTTGACATCATGCTTCACTCCTTTGAGAGGGAGGCTACAGAATAAATCCCAAGCATCATCCACCTTACTAGCATTGCACATCCCGTGAATAATGATACTATATATACCTATATCAAGATCCATCTTACTCTTCTCTATTTTTTCAAATATTTCCAATGCTTTCTCTAGTTCTCCATTGTCACACAACCCATCCAGCAAAATTTTGTAAGTCACAATATCAGGACGAACACCACGAGAAACCATCTCTTGGAAGAGTTTTTTGGCAACACTAAGTTTTCGCAATTCACAAAATCCTTGGATAAGAGTGCCATAAGTGAATCTATTTGCAACCACTCCTTTCAACGACATTTTGCGGAAGAGTTTCAAACCATCGTCAACCCGCTTAGCCTTGCAATATCCATTTATGAGAATATTGTAAGTCACGATATTAGGATCACACCCTTTGCTAACCATCAGATCCAGCATCTGGTTTGCCTCATCTAGGCAATTCTCCTTGCAAAACCCATCTATCAAAGAACTATATGTAATAGTATCAGGAGATATACCTCGCTGAATCATCTCCCTGTGCAGTTCTTCGGCCTCTCGAAGCTTTCCCTCTTTCACAAAACAATCAATCAACGCACTGAAGGTGACAACGTCTGGGGCGATTTTCCTTGTGATCATATCCCTCAACAACTTGGCACCATCATTCCATCTACCAGCATTACAAAAGCCTCCTATGAGAGTGGTGTAGGTAATATTATTTGCTTTGATCCCTTTCATTTCCATTTCATTGAAAAGGTTGAATGCATTGTCGAGGCACCCGTCTTTTCAAAGACCATCAATGATGATGCTGTATTTGACTGCATCTAGCTTGATCTTTCTTTCTTCCATCTTTCTAAGCAACTCCATGGCCAGGGCAGTTTTACCGGACTTACACATTACATTTAAAACCGGTCCATAGGTAACTTCATTGGGTTGACAACCATTTTCCACCATTCGATCTATCAAAGCCACTGCTTCAGACACTTTACCTTTGAGACAAAGTCCATTGACCAGAGTGTTAATCGTTATGAGATCGGGCCTATGTCCCATTCCTACCATTCGATCAACTAATTCCACCGCTTCAGAGACTCTACCCTCAAGACATAAGCCATTGAATAGAGTGTTAAAGATGATTGTGTTAGGCTCATACCCAAGCTTCATGATCTTCCCCAAAGCAGAAAAAGCATAACAAAGTTTACGACAGCGACAGAAACAATTGATCATAATACTCAAAGTGTAGTTGTCATGTGCAATCCCATTCAATTCCATCTGCTTGCAGAGAGCTAACACTAGATCATACTGTTTCGTTCTGGCAACAGCACTAAACAATTTACTGAAATCAATGAGATTAGGTAGAGGACGAGACTTAATCATGTCTTGGAAGAGATCAACAGCAACATCTGCTTTAATATCGACAAGCCCACTTCTCAATCTCTCTCTATAAGACAGATTTCTATCGCTGAAACCAGAGAAGCCGCGTTCGCAGCAAAAAAGTAGCTCATTTGGGCAATGGGATAAAGCATTTCTCAGAGTACCTGTCTCCAGGAGACGAGGCTGAACAAATTTCGAAGCTTGAGGACTCAATCTCCGTATCATCAACTTCATCATCTAAAGCTGAATCGTTCCTTTTTCAAACTCTCTCTGCGTAAATTTGCTAACCCTACAAAGCATCCATGAGGAGCTTTAGAGACAAAAGAAACAACACCCGAAACTTATCGATTAAACCGGTTCAATTAAAACTATACCGGAATTGGTTTAGCTGAGTTTTTCCTTTTATATCTGATCTATACTTTGATCTAGCGATCCAAATATTGACGTGCGAATTGGGGAGTAGAGAGCTTGTATCATCGACTCGTGTTCTTCTTCAACCGGTCTAAACCGGACATTGTGTATCATCGACTCGTGTTCTTCTTCAACCGGTCTAAACCGGACATTGTGTATCATCGACTCGTGTTCTTCTTCAACCGGTCTAAACCGGACATTGTATTGTATGTTAGCAGATTCAGGGTGTAGTGAACCGAAAATTTTGGGTCTCATTCTAGTGCTTGTATATGTTCTTTTCTTTTCACCACTACAATACTTCTTATCATTTACAAGTGGTATTCATTAACGGTAATATTGTTTTGAGAGCTTTGATCTTCACACAAATCATGTATTAGTAAAAAGTAACAAGAACATGTAGAGAATGCATCTATCTAATCAAACTTAGAAACTTGCATCAGACTTAAATTTCATTTGCGCCTTACCATCTACATAAGAGAACTATACCATAACAAGAACCAAAACCAAGTCAAAAACTACCGTTTCAAGAACATGAACTACAATGTCAGTGCTATAAGCTGTTTCATAGTTATTCTTATGAGCCATCATTAGCTCTATTACCTTAAACCATGAAGAACTTCTTTGTTATCTGTGTACAACATACGGTCCCGAGAGACAAAGAACATCCAACAGCACATAACAACACCGTGCGAAGGATATCAAACAGCACAAAGCTTAAGAGCAAGACAAGATCTTTAAATAATTTCAAAATCTTTTTACTTTCCATTTCAAATACCAACAAAACACAGTCCTGGTCACAGAATCGTGCCAAGAAGACTACTATACGATGCAGACCATGAAATCAAGTCTTAAACAAACAAAAAACTACTACAATTCAATGTTAGATATCGAAATCAACCACATTTCAAGATCCAAAGAGCGAAAAGTTACCACATTGTGAATCAATGAGACTCCTTGATCCAATCCACCGAATTACAAAGGCATAAAGGACAAATCTTGACATTCTTAGAGATTAGATAAGATAAAGAGGAATCACACAGACAACATTTCCATTGAAAAATGAAAACAAACATGAAGAAGATAAAGTTAGTAAGCAAAAACCACAATGATAAAACAAACCCTAGCTAGGATTCGCTCGAAATCAAACAAACAGGTGAAAAAACAAAGAATCTCTTCTTAAAAGTTTCAAATTTTCAAAACAAAGATTATAGATCTCACTTAGCGACCATCCTTGCTATGAAATCTTCATACCGGATCTTCCCATCGGATCCAACATCCACCTCCTTGATCCACTCATCGAACTCATTAGGCTCCAGCTTCTCTCCAATACTGGTGAGAATATGCCTCAGATCCGCTACAGCCACGAACCCTGTACCTTCCTTATCGAGCACTTTGAATGCGTCACGAAGCTGGCGATCGAAAGGTTCCGTCTTTAGGTGTTTCGCCATGAGATCGAGGAATCTGTTGAAATCAAACGGAGAAGAGAGGTTTTCCGATGCGATTATGGATTTCAGCTGGGCTTGGGTCGGGTTTCCGCCGAGAGATCGCATGAGGATCCCGAGCTCTGACGGCGCGATTTTGCCGTCGCCGTCGGTGTCGAATAGCATGAAGGCTTCCTTCATCGATGAGACCTGATCGTCGCTCAGACCATCTTTCCCCATTCTTCGATTCTTCCGGGTTTTCGGGTCAGATTCCGGGTCGGGTGTTTTTCTCTTTTGCTTCTTCTGTACAACGAAATTGGGATCGAGAGAGAGTCGCGTTTGTAACTTTTTAACGAGAGAGGTAACGATACGACGTCGTTTACGTCAAGGCCCAACTAAATCTGGCCCATTTATCTCTTGAAATCTTAAAAGATGAACCAATCATATCAGTGGAAATTTAAAGTTTAGGATCACATTTTTGAAATGAAGAAGTCTTTCTCCATAAAGCTTTCATATGTTTGCTAATTACAAATTAAAAATGATAAATAGTAGTAGGATAATTTGAGTGGGTTTGCATTTTAATATTTGTATATATGGCAAATGAAATTGCTTAAAATGCTTCCAATAAAGAATAAATCATCAAGTTTGAGAAAGTGGGATAAAAAGAATAAACATGGCCTAATATTTCTTTAAGCCACAACCGATAATGTCGTTTTCAAAGTGACATAGGAATTATAAAAAGGTTTTATTTGTCCCACATAATTGGATATATGGGGTACAAAGACAATTGTTTAAATGCATTAGTCACCATCAATGTATATAGCATATGATATCATCATGTGATTTAAAAGGCACCTTCCACTTGGATAAATTTTCACATGTTTGAGTTCTTCTATACTTTATCTTTCTTTTGGTTTGCTTTGAAATGTGATTCACTTGTTTGAAATTTATGCCATTATCTATGACAATCTCCATTATCCCTACATGGAAAAAAGTATCCAAACACTCCTTATCAACGATCAATAAGACATTATCTATTATATCCAATTAAGAAAAGATAATTCAAAGTGTATTTAATGATTATCCAAGTGCACATACCTTAATCAAGTTTTGTTAACTTAATCATCCGTTTCTAGTTTTATTAACACAATCACATAGTAGTTTGTATGAGTGTCTTGGTTTTGTTCGATTAGGATTTAGGACATGTAACATTGACTTGGTTTTAGTTATCACATGATTCCGAAGTCAGTTTAATTTTGGGTTTCGTTAGTATTTTTATTGTACCAGCCAGATGAATATTCAATTCTAAAACTTAACTACTCTTAACGAAAACAGTAGAAAAATCGTGTTAGCCTAATTATAGACTAATTAGTTTAAATCTCGTTAGCCTACACACGTCAAATTCGCTTGGAATAGTATCAACGTCGACGATCTAGAAACCTTATCTTTTGAAAACAGAAAGAAAGAACAAAACACAGTAATTTTTTAGAAAATTTACCTATCACTCCCACATATTACACATTTTCTAAATATAACCTTCTACACCGCAAAATTTAAGATAACAGTACTCTAATTATCTCAGTTAATTCACAACAAGTGCCTTGTCTATGACCACCTTCTGATTTTAAAGTAACAATTTCTATAAAAAAAAAGAATAAATAAACAGCTAAATCTGGGGGTACTTGATTAAAGTTGATAGTATTGGGGCTAAATCTGAAAACAACTAAAATACATGGGCCATATCCATAAAAGACGAAACGAGACTTTTCTTATTGTCTACGTCCTCTATAAAAGCAACCTTTAAGCTAAAACCCAAACAAGAAGCAGAACCCAAGAAACGTGAGAAAGTTGGAGAAGACCAAAAAGAAGAAGAAGAAGAAGAAGAAGAAAAAGAAGAAAATGAAATTGGTTTGGTCTCCTGAAACAGCATCAAAGGCTTATATAGACACCGTTAAATCGGTAAGTTTTTTTATTTTCCGGTGAATCGTGCCGGAATAACCCACGTTTCTTCTCCACAGTTCTTGAAAACCCAGATCTTAATTTCGTAAAAGATTCATGATTTGTTCTTGTAACGATAATTTTTTTTTTTTGGTTCAGTGCGAGAATCTTGAAACGCCGGACGCGGCGGAGCTAATAGCGGCGATGGCGGCTGGATGGAACGCGAAGCTGATCGTGGAAACTTGGTCAGAAGGAGACGCAATATCCTCAAGTATTGGTTTAAACGTAGCAAGCCAACACGCAAACGCTAAACACATATGTATAGTACAAAACTCGAGATCAGAATCTGCTTATCTCCAAGCTATTCAAGAATCTTCATCTCCTTTGAACTTACCAGAGACAATCATCGCTGAAGAACCCGAAAAAGCGATGAAGAAGCTACAAGGAATCGATTTCTTGGTCGTGGATTGGCGGAACAAAGAATTTGCAGCTGCTACGTTGAAGAACGCTGCGTTTGGAAGCAGAGGAGCGGTTGTGGTTTGTAGAAACGGGTATTCGAGTTTGAGAAGGGTTTTAAGAGATCGGAAAGTTGTTAGAACGGTGACTCTTCCGGTCACCGGAGGTATTGAGATTGCTCATGTTGCGGCTAGGAACTCAGGGAAGAGTGAGAAGAGTAATAAGAGAAGATGGATCACACATGTAGATCAAAGATCAGGAGAAGAACATGTGTTTAGTATCTAGAAAGTAAGAGACAAATACATTTTGTCATAAGCGTTTGTTTATTGGATCTTGTATTTGTTGTGTTTGTACATAAGATTCCATAGATGCAATTGTTATTGAAAAAACATGCTTGTCTTATAAATGTGATCGTTGAGTTATATAGAAAGCTTAACATATATTTACAGATTAAGCAAAACTACTATCTCTGCTCATTGCTTTTACTTGCTTCTATTTGTCTACAATGTTGGGAAGAATGAAGAACACTATAGAGTGATGGGCTTAAAAACAGTTGTTTATGAGTTCTTGAGCCCAATACATTAGTGCTCTGCATGACTTGTAATCATATCCTTGACTTTTCCTACAAGAAAAGTAATTGGGTTCCCACATAAATGCTAAAGAAAATGACCTAAAGTGATTTGGTGGGTATGTTCGTTGCCGACGAGGTTATCAGTACGATCAAGGAGAAAAAAGTCAACTCGGGCCAATTGATAATAAGTCTATGAACTTATCTTCTTTATGAATGTTTAGATCCATCTCCACTTCAAATAGGAGATACATGAGAACGGAAACATCACATCATCATGCAAATACCACTACAAATTGGGAATAATCCATCAGATCAATCATGAATCTAAAATCATATGCTTCTAACTTCAAAATTGATTAGCAATTACTAGATTGATTTATGTTGTTAATATAATAATATGCTAATTATTTTCATCCCTACGTTAATGTGGTTTAGTCTAACGACTAACATACCCAACCAGGTTTTAGATTGACTTCGAAAACAGACCTTCCAACGAAACCATAATGAAGAAAAATATATCTACATGTAATCCATAATGTCGAATCATGGGTTTCTGCCATTTTCCAACTTGGTGTTTTCGATATGGATAATGTCACGAGAAATCAAAGCAAAAAGAGACAGAAAACAAGCTCAAAACTCTTGGTTAATATCCAGTTTGTGAAACATAGTGGTTCGTTCCCCGGTTTAATTTGTCGAGATATTAGTTTTCGGTTAAGATTTAAGAAAGAAACATCGTTATGGTTTAGTCCCATTTCGTGGTTTTGGGCCTTTTGGCTTCTCTGTTCTAAAAACGGTTTTGGTTGGACTTTAACGGCTAAACACTGATCAATCAACCCAAATCCCAACTAGTTAAAATCACTCTCTTCGTTTCAGTTTAGTTGTCGTTTTAGGATTTAAATTTTGTTTCATAATAGTTGTCGTTTTAGGTTTTCAATGCAAATGTTTGGTGAAAATTCCAGTTTTATCCCTACTGTTTTAATGTTTTGTCCAATGAAATTTTTTATAAAATATATTAATAAAGGGTAAAACAGAAAATTAAATATTTTTCTTAATTTGTGTGAAAAAACTTTAAACGACAACTAAAACGAAATGGAGGGAGTACTATATATGCTTTTTTTCTGGATGGTTTTTGGTATTATTCAAATGTAAACACAGAAAGTTAATAATAACAGAAAAAGTGAAGAAACAAAATTTTGTTTGATGACTGATAAAAGTGAAATGTCCGTTTAGAAAAATACAAAGATGGGCTATGAAAAACAGATGACGCATTGCCTTTGTCGTGAACCCAAGTTCCCTGCGGTGTTGGGCTGTCCGGATCCTGAGCGGTCTGACCATCATGCGATCATTAATATTATCTTAATTTTATGAAAATAAATCATTAAAAAAAAAAAAATTGGGGAAATAAATGAGAAAGGAGGTAAGAAGGCGTCACGTGCACATGATCCAACCGGTGAACAGAGACATGTCACGCAAAGTCAGCCAATTTTCAGAGCCCAAAACCATAAACCCTTTCAAATATTTATGAGTTTTTGGACGATCTTAACCTCCCATTATCCCATTTATTACCATCACATGCCCCCTGTTTTATATCCTCTTCTTTTTTGTGTGTTAGCTGGCTTTTTTTTTTTTTTTTCATAATTAAACTCAAAAGAAAATTAAACTCAGAAAATGAGAAAATAAAAAAGCAAGCATGATACATTCCATAAATTATATTAAAAAATCACATCATCCCTTGCTCTAGGTAAATTATGAGTTGAAAATAATAGGGGAAAAAAAAAAAGGGTTGAAAATAATAAAAACTCTGTTTCATTAAATTTACGGATACATACTACTCTCTTTTTAGAGAGAGCCAAACAAAAACCATTAAACTTACATGGAAAAAAGAAAAGCACCAATTCTTGTTTTCATAGATATATTATGAGTTAATAACAAAAAAAAATATGACAGCAAATTTTTTAAAATGTCTAATATTTAATGAAAGTTCAATTAAGTAGTGTGGTACTAAAAAAAAAAAAAAAAGTAGTGTGGTACTGTGGTAGCATTATGTTTATGCTTTGTTTGTCAGTGTTATAAATTCATGTTTATTAGTACGTACCTTCATTTTTTCCCACTACATAGTTATGGCAATGTATATTCCATAAATGAGTTTTATTTCGACATGAATCCTCTGGTTAAAAATATATTTTGCTCGAATATCTATAGTTAAACTATCACCTTATAATGCTGAAAAAACTAGATTGATAAAAATGCTTTTTCAGCTTCCTTTCTCAATTCTCATGCTTATGAATTCATATCAAAACCAATATCACATGAATTATAGAATGAGAATTAAAAGTTGAGGAGCTGAAAGAGAAGACAGAGCCAATGAATAAGGCACACCAATCTAACAAGTCATAGGCCAAAAGATGTTTTGTTTGGTAATGTGGGTCAACCAATATCATAAATGAGGTAGCTGGATTTGCATTTGTTGCTCTTCTCGAAATTTAATGTGACAATTCCCCCTACTCGATATTTATTACTAAGCAACAAATAATAAATACTAGTATCTCATTTTAAGTGATTTGATGTCTACGTTTTACTACGTTATGGACGAGCTCAGAAGAACCACTCCACTAGATGTATGTGTGTGTGCATTGTTAGAAGAGTATCCCAGTTTAGTAAAATGTACACCATCATAGAAAATCACTCTTTTTTCTTAAACATCAAATCGTTTATGTATGTGAAGAGAAACAAAACAAGAACAAGAAATATAAAGAGAGAAAAGGGAGAGATCTAACCTTGATGGTTAGAGATGAGTGGATGTGAGAATGTCAACATTGTTGAAGAAGAAAACGAGTGAAGTAGCTGGAGAGTGTGCTGTCACGGCGGAGATGCTAATTGAGGTTTTCTCAGTTTTACCGAATCTAGAGGAGCTGGTTCTTGACATAGTGAAGGATGTGATGTGAAGCATAGTGGTGTAGCTTTTAGAGGGCATAGAAATTCTAAATGCGAGAAGCTAAGAACATTGACACTAGGACAGAAAGGAGGGTTCGATGGCGTAGCTTTTATGTGGGAGGGATGGCAGCCGTTGGCGAATACGAAATTCCCCGCGATTTAACTGATAGATCTGGTGGCCTATAGGGAGAAGGAGGTTGTAGTTCATTACCATCGAATTGGATTATGG